TCCAGAAAAAATGAACTAAATGAAAGAAAGATAGCCAACCTATCAGATGCAGAGTTCAAAACACTGGTGATCAGGATGCTCAAAGAACTCATTGATTATGATAACAACATAAAGGAATAAATGAAGGTTACACTAAGTAAAATAAAGAATAATCTACAAAGACCTAACAGTGAAGGGAAAGAAGCCAGGATTCAAATCAACAATTTGGAACATAAGGAAGAAATAAACATTCAACCACGACAGAAAGAAAAAACATGAACTCAAAAAAAAAAATGAGGATAGTATAAAGAAGACCCTGGAACATCTCCAAATGTGCCAACATCCAAATCATAGGGATAGCAGAAGAGGAACAGAAAGAAATTGAAAACTTATTGAAAAAAATAATGAAAGAAAACTTCCCCAATTTGGTGAAGAAAATAGACATACAAGTCCAGGAAGCTCAGAGAGTCCCAAACAAGTTGCACCCAAAGAGGACCACACCAAAACACATCATAATTAAAATTCCAAAGGTTAAAGACAAAGAAAGAATCTTAAAAGCAGCAAGAGAAAAGGAGACAGTTACCTACAAAGGAGTTCCCATAAGACTATCAGCTGATTTCTCAAAAGAAATCTTGGAGGCAAGAAGGGGCTGGCAAGAAGTATTCAGTCATGAAAGGCAAGGATCTACATTTAAGATTGCTCTATCCAGCAAAGCTATCTTTTAGAATGAAGGGCAGATAAAGTACTTCCTAGACAAGGTAAAACTAAAGGAGTTCATCATCACCAAGCCATTACTAAATGAAATGTTAAAGGGACTTGTTTAAGAAAAAGAAGATCAAAGCTATGAACATTAAAAAGGAAATAAATTCACAACTATCAACAACTGAGTCTAAAAACCAAAAAGACAAAAACTAAGCAAACAACTAGAACAGGAACAGATTCATAGGTATGGAGATCATTTGGAGGGTTATCAGCCAGGAGGGAGATAGAGGAGAATGGGAGAAAAGGTGCAGCATTTAAAAAGCAAAATTTGTAGGTAAAAAATAGACAGGGAGATGTTAAGAATAGTATAGAAAATGGAGAAGCCAAAGAACTTATATGCACGATCCATGGACATGAACTAAGGTGGGGGGATGGCTGGAAGGAAGGGGAATACCCAGTGGAGGGGAGGAAAGAGGGGAAAATTGGGACATAGTATAACATACTATGTATAACATAATCATATAATCATATAACATACTATGTGTAACATACATAGTATAACATAATCAATAAAATATACTTTAAAAAATGTTTAAAAAAAAAACCAAAGAGGAAGTAAGACTCATGGGAGATATGCTCAAACATCTACCATATATATAACAGAAATCTTAGGAGGAGAAGAGAGAATAGTAGGCAAAAGCAATAAAATATAATGGCTGAAAATGTCCTAAAACTGATGAAAGATGTCAGTTCATACAGATTCAAAAAGCTCAGCAAACCCAAGCAGCATAGATATAAATAAAATCATGCCCAGTCACATCATAGTAATACTATTAAACATCAAAGACACTGTTGAACATCTTAAAAAGAAATCAGAAGTAAATAAGAAGCCACATTATCTTCGAAGACAGTATGACAAACAGGTGATTTCCTAACAAAAACAATAGAAGCTAACAGACAATGAAATAACATCTTTAAAGTTCCAATAGAAAAATCAGTTAACCTAGATTTTGATACCGAAGGGCAAATATGCCACAAAAGTTTTTTTTAAGTTGTTTTTACCAAAACAATTTTGAAAAAAAAAGAATAAATTTGGAGATCTTATGCTTCCTGATTTCCAAACTTACTACATATCTATAGTAATCAAAATACTGTGGGACAATAATAAAGACAGATGTTTAGACTATGGTAATAAAAGAGAACCCAGAAATAAATACTCACATACATGATCAATGATTTTGACAAGGGTGCCAAGACCATTCATGAGAAAAAGACAGTCTTTTCAACAAATGGTGCTGGAAAAACTGGATATCCACATGCCAAAGAAGTTGGATTCTTTTTTTATACCATATATAAAAGTTAACTCAAAATGGATCAGATTTAAACATTGAAAGGTTTTCTTAGGCTCCACCGAGGAAGAAATGCCAATCAGACACAAAGTTAGGTGGTGTAGAGCTTTACTGGGGTTTGCGCATCCAGGCGAGGTTCTACGGTCTGCAAAATGGGGCCAGAGAAGTCGCGCCTAAGCATGGAATGTGGTGGGGTTTTATTTTGGTTGGCTCTCTTCCTGGGAGCTGGGGATTGGTCCCCTTTGAACAAAGCAGCAATATATCATTGGTGGTTCTCCTCCGGCTCAGGTTGCTATGCAGATAAACCCCGCCCTTTCGGCTCCCTGGTTTGACATCAGCCATCTTTTCCGGGTTGTAGTTCAGCTGCCATTTTGTCCTACCCTGCCCATCCTGATAAACATAAGACCTAAAACTATAAATCTTTTGAAAAAACACATCAGAGAAACTTCATGCTTTATATTTGGCAATGATTTCTAGATTATGATATCAAAAATATGGGATCAAAAGAAAAAAATACATAAATAGGTCAAATCAAAATTCAAATCTGTGTATGAAAAGGTTCTGTTGAAAGACCACCTCAGTTCTTGCTGTAGTCAGTTTAGCAAGGCAGGTGGTCTTCAAACAAATGTCATGCATACTTTGAAAGGGACATTGTAGAACTGAATTACAGAGGATATAAAACTGCCAAAATCCTCAGGAAGACCCACAAAGTAGTGCAGCCATGGACAAGCTGGACATGTTTTCTCTCTCATGTTTTTGTTATAGTCCCTGGGGCCATGCTTGAGCAGTTACAAAAATGATTCTTATGTAACTCTTTTGCAGTTGAAATTTCAAATTCCATATTTCCTTAAGAAAAATGAAGTAATGAAAATGTTTGTGAGCTGATGGTTACAGTGGTTTTGTCTAGTTTTATTTCTTTTCTGAGAATTTCGGGACACCCCTATAACCAAGGACATTCTGTACATTATAAAACCAGTCCAAGGGTTACTGAGTTAAAAGCTTGAACTTTGGTGGGAGATAGATACTAATTAAAATCAGTTATAGACAATCATAGAAAACTGGGCACACATAAAAATTTTCTAGGTAATACCAGACCTGCCTTAGTCCTGACCAGTGTGGCTCATTTGGGTGGTCATCATCCCACAAAGCAAAGGGTTGCTCCCAGTCAGGGCATATGCCTGCCCAGGTTGCAGGTTCAATCCCTTGTCAAGGGGTGTAGGAGAGGCAATCAATCCATGTTTCTCTCCCTCTCTTCTCCTCTCTCCAAAAATGAATGAATAAAATTTTAAAAAACAGCAACAACAACAAAAAACCCAAACCTGCTTTAAAAAAAAAGAAAATTTCTAAATTTCTTGTTTCACTTTAACTTAGGTCTTTTTGTGTTCACCTTAGAACAGAACACAGGCTGGTCACCCTTTGCGTGTTGCATCATCAAATGTTAGTGGTTTGCTTTCTCTGTCATCCTCTCAGGCTAGATGATTCCAGATCCTTTCACCTTTTTGCTTTAAGACCCTATGGAATTAGACTACCCACTAGATTTCTGGAACCAAAACTGGCCCTACCAGAGCCTTAATCTAGAGACTTAAAAAGGAATGAGACCAGAAACCAGCAAGCCACCTCAGGCCACACTTCCAAACAAGCATATAGGTAGTTCACATACAATGGGGGTTTTGGTGGCCATGAGTGGGGTATTATTCTATGGGTCTGGGAGAACTCCAGTAAGCCCACTGTCATCAAAACTGAAAATCTATTTTTTTGCCCAAGGAAGCTGCTAAGTGGCCCAAAGGGAAGTTGCTAAATGGAATAGAGGCTTGCGGTGTGGGTGGCTATTAATTAGAGAAAAAAATTGAATACCTATTTTTCAAGACCAAAAGTTGATATAAAGAGCTGGGTGCTGCCCAAACTGGCAGCAGCTGGCACCCAGCTGGCACCCAAACAGGCAGTTGGGTGTTACCTGTAAGCCGAAAGGTCATGAGTTCGATTCTCGATCAGGGCACATACCTGGGTTGTGGGCCAGGTCCCTGGTTGGGGTCTTGTGAGAGGCAACTGATTTATGTTTTTCTCCCTCTTTATCTCCCTCTCTTCCCCCTCTGTAAGACTAAATTTAAATATATATATATATATCTTTATTTTAATATATATATTTTATTTTAAATATATATTTTTTTTTTTTTTTTTTTATATATTTATATATTTATATATATTTATATATAAATATATATTTATATATATTTATATAAATATATATATATTTAAATTAAATCTCTCTCTCTAGAGAGAGAGCACTGGGTGCCTCTAACATACAGAATTCTCAATCCTTCCCTTCCCCAGGTGTCATGATCTAATAAAATATTTTTTTTCAATAAGGTTAAAATTTCATGCATTGCTTTGGTTCAAACCAACTCAGGGGATTTAAGAAACAAAATCGATTTAGTGTTTTGCTGAGTAAAAAACTGAAATTCAAGTTGTGTAGGAAGAACTATCAAAACAGTGGTTTTAGGGTAACCAGTTGGATTCCACGCAGCGCTTTCAGCCTCAGACACAATCCTGCTGAAAAACCAGCCCCTGGAATTTAGTTTCAGTCCCACTGTCAATGGAATTTTTCTGCTGCTTACATGGTGGGCAAGAGCATTTGTTTATAAAACTTTCAGAGATTTGTCCAAGGTCCTATTGAGTGAGTAATCCACCGGAGAGTCCATACACCCCAGGGCATATGCAACTGTATGATTCCTTTTTAAGTTTTGGGTTTGAAGACCATTACCAGCTGTGGGATCGGGTAAATCACTACAACCCACGCCTCGGTTTCTTAACCTATCATATTGGTCAATAATGCCTGCCATACGGTGCTGCTATAAGAAATACAGTGTACGATTCCCTGGTAGTTTCATGTGAGGATTTTCATAAGGACGGGAGAAATTCTGCCCCTCGCTGAGGGTAAGAGTCTTGAAATGCCCCCCCACCTCCACCTACCTTCCACACCCCTCTTCCTTAAATTTGTGCCTTAGGGCATGCTCATCTAATTCAACTCTACGGCGACGCGAGGCGATGTCGCGCAACTCCAACTCCAGGGGCTTGGGTCGCCACTCAGAACGCCGGTAGGCGTTCTCCGACGACCTCATCAGCATGGACGCTGGAAGTGGCTTGCAGGAAGAGGACAAGTGTGGCACTGAAGGATCACTTCCGCTTCCGCTGGCGCAAGCACTTTCAGTTCTTCTGCTACCGTGACTAAGATGGAAGCGCTTTGGGAGTCTCGGTCCGGACTCTGGGCCGGGGGTCCGGCCCCCGGGCAGTTTTATCGCATTCCGCCCACTCCCAGTTCCTTCACGGACCCGGCGTCGGCTCTCCACCGGAGTCCGATTACGCGCACCCAGTAAGCCCTGGGCGCCTCAGCCAGCGGAGGGGGAGGGCCTGTGGGGCTCGGTTCGCCCAGTAGTTTCCGAGGGAGCTGGGGAAGAGGAGGGAGAATGAGGGGCGCGGAGCCCCAGAGGATGAAAGGAGCCGTGGAAAATCCGAAGCGGAACTCACTGCGCAGGAAGATTCTGGCTCTTCCCCGCGCCGCCTCTGCAGACCTCCCTCCCTCTCTCTCCAGGAACCCCATGGTGACCGGGACCTCAGTCCTGGGCGTGAAATTTGAAGGGGGAGTGGTGATTGCAGCAGACATGCTGGGTTCCTACGGTTCCTTGGCCCGTTTCCGCAACATCTCTCGCATTATGCGAGTCAACGACAGCACCATGCTGGGTGCTTCCGGAGACTACGCTGATTTCCAATACCTGAAGCAAGTTCTCAGCCAGATGGTGTAAGTAATCTAGAGAACAGGGCACAGTTCCCAAGTAGGGAAGGGAGTCCTCTGGTTTTTAGCTCGTCAAGAAGTTGTCAGATGGAGACACTTGATGCCGCAGAGGAGGACAGGGAGAATTGTTGGGGGTGGAACACGTGGGAGTGTTTGCAATAGGGGGTGTAAAATGGGAAGGATTGTGTTAATGCCCTTGGGGGTGGGGTGGACGTAGATAATGACTTTCATATTCTCATAATTTCTTCTTAAGGATTGATGAGGAGTTGCTGGGAGATGGACACAGCTATAGTCCTAGAGCTATTCATTCATGGCTGACCAGGGCCATGTACAGCCGCCGCTCCAAGATGAACCCCCTGTGGAACACTGTGGTCATTGGAGGCTATTCTGATGGAGAGAGGTTGATTTAAGTAACACTTAAAGTTAACATTCCCTTGACAACTTAACCTGTAGTGCCTGTGTAGTGTGTATTTTTCCCTCTGAGTAAGTCCCAGTTCTTAGACCCCATGGTCCCATCCTTCAGCTAAGATACAGAAACCTAAGGTGAAATGAGTTCTTTGACCTATTGTGTCCTGTTAGCTTCCTCGGTTACGTGGACATGCTGGGTGTAGCCTATGAAGCCCCTTCGCTGGCCACTGGTTATGGTGCATACTTGGCTCAGGTAAGTAGTGAATTAAAAGGTCAGGAGAGGGCAAGTCAGAAGGCAATAGAGTTAGAAGTTGTGTGCTTGTTTTTCCTTTATAATTCTGACATGAGGAACAGGCAGGCTAGAATCCATATTGCTGGGCAGATAATTCTTTCTGTAGTTTCGAGGCTATGAGTGTAGCACCTACATTCCAATGACAAGGCACGTCCGGGAGTCAGTAGACACGTGTGAAGAGAGGACACCCTAGAACTTCCCCCTCGGGTGGGTCTTAGCACAAGTAAAGTATATTCTGGTGAGGTAGTAGGTGGAATGTTTCCTTTTCACTCATTTGTGTATAGGACACCATGAATCTGAGACAGATACCCTGGTATTCAGCCCCTGATATCTCCCATGTTTTTTCTTTAATCTCCCTAGCCTCTACTTCGAGAAGTTCTGGAGAAGCAGCCAGTGCTGAGCCAAACTGAGGCCCGAGAGCTAGTGGAACGTTGCATGCGAGTCCTGTACTATCGAGATGCCCGTTCTTATAACCGGGTGAGGGAGTCAATGATAAAGGTGATGGGGATCTAATTGGCAGGTTTTGAATACTTGCCTGGGGTCTCTACTTTGAAGAACAGTCTGCCCCATTTCTCTCCTATTTTCATGTTAGGAAAAAACCTCCTACTTGACCTTTGACAAGCTCCAGAGACTTACTTCATGTGGGGGTGGACATTTTCATTAAGACCTCTGCTTTCTTTCAGTTTCAAATCGCCACTGTGACCGAAAAAGGTGTTGAAATAGAGGGACCACTGTCTGCAGAGACCAACTGGGATATTGCCCACATGATCAGGTGATTGAAATTAAAATTACAGTAGAAAAATAGGTGGCAGAAGAGTTGGACAACACCTTGGCTTGCACTAAGCTAGATTTTTTTCCCTCGCTTTGAAATCTCAGCCCCAAAATTGTCTGGGTGTAATGCGTTTTTGGTTGGATAGAACTGCTTTTAGGAGATTCCTCTCCCTGTGGCTTCACAATTTTATTATGCTATCTTCTTTTTTAGTGGCTTTGAATGAAATGCAGACACATTATCCAGAACTGAAGTTGTACCCTTCTTCCAACTTTGAACTTGGCTGGTTCAAAGGTACACTTTTCTTTTGTAAAATAAATCTTTTGAAACACTTGCTGAGTAGTTGTATTCTGTCTGACTAGGTTACACCAAGAGTAAAACCACTAAGTACTGCCATGTGCCCTCCCCTTCCCTGATCAGAAGACCTTTGGCTCTTGGTTCTAGAGCACATGGAGTCCTCTGCGTGACAGTACTGAAGGCCCACGGCTGTCTTCGTTTGTGAAGGCAGCTTTTTGTGTGGAAACCAGGCTTAATCCTTGTGGAATCATCTGTTTTTGTGCTTAATATTTTTCAACACTTCCACCCATGTACTAGATTCTGAAATACTGTTCCTGGTTAATGTTGGCTACAAATTAGTTTTCGTTAAAACACCATTTAAAAAAAAAATGTGGCACTTAGTAGAGCTATTCTGTGTAAGGCTACCCATTCAGCCTCTGTATGGGAAATCCTAAGTAATTTCAACGTGTAACCTAAGTGTTTATTGTTCAGACTTACTACTAATTTCTAGCACTGTCAGAAAACCTCCTACAAGTTTTGTGTGTTCATTAAAATGTCCATAAGTGTAGCTGGGAGTTCAATCGGTTGGGGAATTAGCCAAATTCCATCTCCAGGACAGTGTTAAACCTGAATTTTAAAATGAACATCCTAGGTGATTATGATGCATATGTTTTTGAGAAATATGGACAGCAACCCCCCAAACATGTAGAAATTCATGAGGGGAGGGAGAAATCAAGACATGCCTTCATTTGTATCATCATGATTGCAACAAACTAGTACATTATTAAAGAAAACCATGAGCTTCCAACTTGAGTACACCACACATTCAGTCTCAACACAGAAAGTAGTCAATAAATACTTTATTGATTAAACTGAATTAATTTGTTTTTTAAAAAAGTCCTTCTACCACTAAGCCATGCGGTTGGAATCCACAAAGATAACTTCCTGGCCAAAACCCAGCTGACCCACAGTTGGTATTATGGTCTCACAAAAATCACCCATCAAGAGAGTCACGCAGTGTGCAGAGGCCAGGAACCCAGCTCTGCTAAGGCTGGGCTGCTGCGGAGACTACCAAAGAGAAACAGGTCGTTGTAGATGAGAGTTGACCAGTTCTTGATCTTTCTGAAAGGCAAAGGATTGACTTCAAAGTCCAAGTTCTATCAAAAATGGCATCAGGCAAAAAGCTTGGGGGAGAGAAGCCCAAATGGATCCTCAATTCATTTTTCAGATGCCACAGGTTCCAAAGATGGCCAAGCTGTTTACGGGAGGGATCCCTCCAGTTCACTACGTTAGAGTGTTCTGGGGGGTTAAAAAAACAAAAACAAAAAGATTGGGGTGCGGAGGAACAGGTGGTAACAAACGTCACACTTGTACCACAAGGCCCATCACATCTTAAGCATGTGCCAGTCCATGAAAGCCTATTAAAATAGGGTCACCCAGGGAAGGGGGAAACATTGTTTAGAAACTGATTTCCCTTCACTTTATTAAATGTTCCACTTCTGTACATTTTAAAGATGAACCATTTACAAGCCTGTGCAGGTTGCCTCCTTGGCTGATAGGAAGGAAATGTTGCTCAAAGACTCAGGATGGAGAGAATGGTGTCGCCGTGGGAGAGATGGACTTAAGATTTTTGCTCCTTTTCTCTGTTACAGTACAATTCAGTTTATAACCATGAGTACATACAATTTTTAAAAAAAACCCTCATGCAAACTGTAGAAAAAATTTTTCTTTCCTTGAAGCTGGCAGTGAAAAATAAAGATTCGTGTCTTTTTCTTTGTGCACACCCCCATATTATTTCTTCAAGTCAGATTCTTCTCTAAGCATTAAGAGAAATAGGAGAAAGCCACAGGGTAAGCAGGATTTCAACAAGTGGTATTTTCTTCTTGAAGTTCAACATTTAAGTTCTTGCACAATTAGCTCCTGGCTGTAGGACGTGTGGTCTCTTGAATAGGCAGGCTGTCCATTTGACAAAAGGAAGTTCAACAAAGCAGGGATGGACCCTGGGGCTCTGCAGGATTAAGACCCCCACACGGAATGGCTTCCACCCTAAGATTGTGATCACCTCCATACCTCTTGCTTGTTAATGACATGTGTGATCCTTTGTCCAGAGTGATGGTGTGAGAAAGGGAAAAGGGCCAAGGATCACAAGTGCAAAGAATATTTTCTCATATTTTTGTTGAAGGGAGGGTGGTGAGGAAAAAAATCTGTTCACCATTCTGGATGATTAAAGGTTGTTTCATGCATTTTTAAAGCCACAATTTTATATTGGGTTGCTGTAGAAACCAACTTCTCTGGAGAAGGAAGGTAAGAAAGGAGAAGGAAGAGAGAGTTCAGTGGGATGTTTTTTCCATTTTCATTTTTATATAAAAGTGTTAAGACCACAATGAAAAAAGTTTTTATCCATATATATAATAAACCAGTTTGTGAGCTACATATTTCTCTCCCATCTCAGAAATGTCCTCACACTGACAATGGTCGGATAGCATCATGCCCAAAGACAGTGGCCACACAGTGAAACAAACAAACCCAGATGTACTATGACACAATTGAGGTAAAAGGGGAAACAAAAATATTTAACATTTGTCCACGAAAGATTTTTTTTTTCTTTTCTTGATTTTGTCAGAAAAATACCAAACACAGTGATTTAAAGTTTAAAAAAAAGTCACAAAAACCT